AGCCATGAACAATCTTCTAATATTTACCCAGCCACTTCCAAAACTATGCCAACAGTTAGAACTCATTCTCTTAAAGAATGAAGAGAACTCATTCTCTTAAAGACGGCAATTAATGAACTCTTCATATGCTGTTAGCGGAGAAGCATAGAAGGCAGTAGTCAGTGCATTTTTAACTTCATTGTAGTCTTCTTTTATCTCATTGCTGAGGCCTTGATAAACAGCAAACACTCTGCCAGAAAGAAATAAGGAGCACCACATGCAACTTGCCAACTTTTTGAAGTTTTTCTACCAGTTCCAATTTCTGTATCCATTCTGAAAATTTACCTGAACCATCGTACTGCGACACTAAATCCGCAAACTTTATCATGATGCTCTTGTGCTCTTGGCCAAAATAGCTTGTAATAATAAGTCTATATTTGTTGTTTTTTCTCTGTCATTATGAATATTTTTATTTAATAAGCATTATATTTCAATGTAATGTATGACACACCCACAGTGTTCCTTCTGATATAACACAATAATAGTTTATATATAATACAATTATTTACACTAGTTACAGAACTAATATGTTGCACAAGAAAGGTTTTAGCACTGTGTCTACAATGCTAAAACCTTTCTTGTGCGACAAGAAAGGTTTTAGCATTATCAATACAATTGTATTAGTTAAATTATTAAATCAAAAGTAAATAAATGTATACTGATTGCTTTCAATGTTATATAAAATTTATGTAAATTGTGGAATGCACATTATTTATATTTTTACATATTTCAGTATAGCATGTGCGTAAGTCTAGTAACAGTAGTTAATTATCACCCAATAATTTTCGCTGAATTAACTTGTCAGTCCTAATTAAAAGGTTAACTTTGTTTCTATATCATGTTCTTAAAATAATGCATGTTGTGCCATCAATACAAATATAATGAATAGTGTATATTTATGATCTAGTTTAAATAATTTGTTACATATTTTAACATTTGGAATTGTTATGTAGTAATCATTACTGACATAAAAGTTTTGAAATATCTAAAAAAAAAAATCTCTAAAAACCATAGCAAATAAAAAAAAAAGTTCAAATTCATTTTGGGTCCGAATTTAGGCCACAGCCTAGGACTCACCTAGGCTGTGGCCTAAATCCGGCCCTGACATTAAAATATATGAAAAACAACAATTTTTGGCAGGTTTAATTTAAAATTTTTTACATGTAACACCCTTCAAATAAAATTTCAGACAAATTTTAATTGCATTTATTATGTAATTTATTTCATGCACGCAAAAAACCTTTATACTTATTTGAAAGAGGATTTTATAATCTATTTAAATTTAATTTAATTAAGTTAAAAATATAATTTAAATATTGAAATTAAAATGGGCAAAATAAAGGACCTCGAAAAAATGCAGAAAATTTTTTTCCAAAAAAATCGAGAATAAGGTTAAGCGTTTGTTGCTAAGTAATTTATGGAATGGGGTTTACCAACTGCGTACAATAAAATCATAAAATTGGAGAATGGATCTATAAAAAGAAAAGTTGGAAGTGGTCAAATCGCTAAGGTAGCTACTAAAGAAAATATTCCAAAGATAGCTGAATTTTTTGAAAATAAGTTAGGGTGCTCCCAAAAAAAAGTAGCTCAAGTTTTTAACTGTAGTCTGACTCGAATTTCCTAAGTATTAAAAACAATGACTAACATTTGAACTTTCAAAAAAACAAATCGTCCAGATCGTAGCCATCTGCAGAAGAAAGCAAGTCCTAAATGTTGTAAATTGTGCGAAAATTATAAAAACTTGGATTTTGTTATGGATGATGAAAGCTATTTTACCTTAAACAATAGCACATTAGCTGGTAATGGTAGATTTTTTGCCGCTGATCCTTCTCAATGTTCTGACAAAGTAAGATTTTTTAATGTAAATTTTGCATAAAAAGTACGAGGACAAGCTCTTAGTTTCTTGTTGCATCAGCCCCCGTGGAATAAGCCCTCTTTATATTCATCACAGTAAGCAGGCAATCAACCATTACACTTATAAAGAGATATTAGAAAAAACTTTACTTCCTCTAGTATCAGAATATTATAAAAAAGACAATGAGTTTATCTTCTGGCCTGATCTAGTTCAACACTATTTTATCATACTTTCAACCGTTTACATCATGTTTTACAGTCGATAATACACACTATTTTATCATACTTTTGACGATTTTATTTTCCAGACAATCTTATTTGGAAGCCAAAGATTTAAAACTTCGACACGTGGGTTCAACTTTACAGTCATTGATGGTCCACTTTAGCATTTTTATTATTCTAATGATTTTTGTCAAAGCATTTTAACCAAAGTACTTTTAAATTAACTAATAATGCAAAAATAAACAAAAATAGTTAAAAAATAGCATTTTTTAAAAAAGTTAATATCATTCAAATAATTATGAGCAGCTTGTATATGGAACTATATTTAGTTAATATATAAATAGTTAAATATATTTCCAAAACAACAATATTTTTGAATGACATAGAATACTCCCTAAATGTGTTCTATATAACAAAATAATACTGGGTTTAAAAGTTTTTTAAATAAAAAATATTTTTAGGGATTGGTCAAAACCTTTAAACATTTAATGGGTCCCTAATGTTTAAATAGTGGTTAAATTATTAAAAAAACAAGTTTATTAAAAATAGATCAACCTGGGTCTCAAATAAAGCAAAATTGCGTAAAAGTTTCAAAAATAATATTTTATTTAAAAAAATTCTTTTGCATACAAAATGCATTTTCATTTTGATTTTACAAAATAAAAATTGAAAATTTTTGTTGAAAGAGATGATGAAAATAAAAGATACAGAACAAACGTTTAAAATAATATGAAAACGAAGTAAAAATAATATGAAAGCTTAATGACAAATGAAAAGGTTTGAAGAATGGAATCTGCTTGGCTCTCTAGCTGTTTCAAGCTCTATTCTCAGACATACTTGGTATCTGGATTCCACTTTGATTGTTTTTGCCCTAGCAGACAAAAAATGTAGGGAACATCGTTTTATGGCCAAAAAATAGTACAGTTTACAAAGATGTTCAAGCGACAGTTTTCCTCGGGAGCACCAGATAATAGACCAAGCTATATTCCATAGCCTCAACTTCAGTAAAGACGAGCCTCTTAGTTTGACTCCACTAACAACAGACTAGTTGTAGCTAGTTTTTGACATGCTTAAGGATAGAATGACAGAAACTCAATGCATGAAGACTTCACTAGAGTTTTGGAAATTCAACAATTTTTAGTCGCTAGAACAAATAAAGTCGAGTTTTTTACTAACATAAGTATAAAAAAAAAATTCAAAAATATTAATTTTAATACTCCTATAAACTATTTTAAAAATCGTACAAAGCGCCCTAAAAATTGATCCTTTTACCCCCTGATGGAGGGTAAAAGGGATCTTAAGATTTCGCCCTCTTAAGATTTTTAATACTAACGGGTCACAACTAAAATTTTGCCCAACTTTTAAAACAAGATATCTCAGTCATTTTACAATTTTTTTTAAAACGGTTTTTTGCATTTTATAAACAACAATTTTAAGTGTTAGAAAAAATGTCTTTTAAAGTTTTTCGATTCCATTCCTTCTGACAAAATCGAGTCTTTTGTGTACCGAGCTGAAGGTGCGGTGTATAAGGTCTTTGTCCAAATTACGAAGGCAAAGACTGACTCTAGCTTTGAGTTGAGTGATAGTTTTAGCCTGCCAGTCCTTCTCATACACTTTCTGCTTCAAAAATCCCCAAAAATCCTCAATTGGCCTGACTTTCGGGACGTTTGCTGGGTTGTCTTGTTTTTGTACAAAATTGACTTTTTTGTCTCTGAGGTCGGCGTGGACTGAGTTTGCATAGTGGGAGCTAGCTAAATCGGGCCAGAATACGTATTTACCATCCCTATAGTATTTGTTAATAAAAGGAATCAACCTCTTTCGTATACACTCGTCACGGTAAATATATTGATTGATTGCCAGGCCAGACTTGAAAAATTTGACACTACTCATTCCTCGAAATGAAACTGCCACCCAAACAAGTAGTTTTGACTCGTATTTTGCCTTCATTTTGTTCTTCACATCAGTAGGAGTCTTTTGAATATCATCTGAGTAAAATCGGTCATTCCCAGCCAAAGTTGTGTTGGAAAGAGTGAAGTACGATTCATCATCCAAAATAAAATCGACATCACGAAATTTGAGGAAAAGTCGTCCACACTTTGGCCTTGCTAACTTGACTTGTAAGGCTGTCATCTTTGGTTTGACGGTGCGTTTTAGACATCTGATATTTGTTCTTTGCAATAGCATCTTTGAAACGTATTGCTGAGTCGTTTTTAGCTTGCTAGCTACTCTTTTCTGTGAGCAGCCCTTCCGATGATTGAAGAAATTTTTCATCTTACGTATGTTGTTTGCAGTCGCTATAGTGGTCGGAGGACCGCTTCCTTTTTTCCTAGTTAGTACTTTATTTTGTTCCAGCATGCTAAGCCAATGATTTAAAGTCCTTTTTGGAGCTCCCATGCTGATAAATTTATCAAAAATATGTTTTCGCCCCAGTCCATGGTTTTTTTGATAGTATTTATACAAAATGGATTTTAGATCTTCGTACATTATAGCGTGATATTTTTTGAACTACAAATCATACGAACTATTTAAAAATATATTTGAATAGAGAATGCTTTTGAGTATATTCTGTTAAAATTTTAAAAATATACACAAAGCAGATCTTTATTGACATTATCCCAAAGTTTGGGCAAAATTTTAGTTGTGACCCGTTAATGTAGAATTTAGTACTAAATTATGGTTTCGGCAGATGATAAGCTACAGCTCTTTTTTTTCGGACATGACCTATTATTAAAACTCCCTAATGTATATAGCCGATTAAACAATTAAAATTTGTTATTGCAAAAAGCCATAATGGCTTCGATACACATATGCTGAAGGTTTGGGTGGTCAACATGTATTTTTTATAGACAAAAAAATGTTTTATATTTTTTTTTTAATTTTTTAAGGGATTGTTAAACTTGTTGGAAATATTTGTGCTGAGTTTCCAATCGAAAATAAAAGTAAGTATGAAAAGTTAGTTGGCATCATTTTTAAGCATTTTGAAAATTCTAATTCAAGTTTAAGATGTTTATGTGCAGAAACTTTATCATTTATTTGGTCATGCTCAAATGGACGTAATTTACTTGTTAATTCAAATCTTGATCGTTTGAAGTCAGTAATGAAACAATTTTTTTTGCTAATAAAACATGAAAACGAACATATTCAGATAAGAGTACTTGCTGCTCTGATTAATATTTTTAATCAAGATTTAATGAATCCAGAAATCTCATTGGTCTGTCAAACTTTATATAAATGCCTTGATCAAAATGTTATTTTGTTTCTTTTTAATATTGTAAAGCAACCTTTTTTGGATATCAGATATAAAGTTTTAAATTTGATGCTTATTTTATTGAAATTCGATTGGTTTGAACAAGATGTTATTTTCTGTCCAGGTTTGCTTTTTTTTTTTAATTTTTTTTTTATAAATTAATTTTTTATGTAATTAGTCATCAAATAAGTGAGAACTTTTTAATTTTAATTTTTTATAAAATAAAACATCAAAACAGTATTGTATTTCAGTGTGTATTGGTAATAGGTTTTATGGAGTACCTTTTGAATCGAAAAACAGACCGTGAAAATGAAGGAAAGCAATTAAAGTACAATATTGTTAAGAAATTAATTTCTTCAACTGCTACGAAAAACATTGGTACAGTATTTCATGAACGTTTATTAAGATATGATAAAGAAGGACCTTTTTTTAATGATGAAAATGTTATTGTTTCTTATGATTTTATCAGCTGATGAATTCAAATCCAAGATTATTTTTAAATGTTTTATGACATAAATTTCTGTATCTAATCTGCATTTAAGAAATTTTTCGATATAAAAAACATTTCATTTGTATTTATGAGCGGGGAAAATAAAACAAAAATTATATTTAAAAAAATCTACACTATAAATGCTTAACGTACTTATTTACTTCGTTGTCAGCGGCAGCAGCCGTATTCACTGCTCTTCGCTACGGAGCTTTTGTCTAAAATTTTATTACAATTTTCTAAGTAAAGAAATGACGAAAACTTTATTTAAATTTGTTTAAATTAAACTAATGCTAAAACAATTTTTGTTTAAAAAAATATATATTTAAAAGTTTTTTTTTTTATTATAGTACAGTAAAACTAACAATTTGGTGACTGATAATTTCGCCTTTTAGTTACAAAAGTAACGCCCTTAAAATGTAATTGCAAAATAAACAATCAATTCTATATATTTTTTTCTTTCTGTTATATAATTATATTATATGTATATTTTTGAAATCATAATGAATGCAAAATAATTCTAATTCGTGCAAATGTTTTAAAATTAACCTGACTTAACCAACAAAAATAACGACTTTTACGTGTCACCGAAGAATCCTCAAAATCTTATGATTTTAATTTTTTAGGACAAGTTGCTTTATAAAAATCCATATTTAAATGTTCAAGTGGTATATTCCAGTCATAATACTACTGGAATATACCACTGGTCAGTTATTTTCATCAGTTATATACTTTTCACTATATCAGATACAATTTGCAAATGTGAAAAATGTTGATAAAATGTGATAAGTGTATCAGATATGCTATCGGCAGATAGAACATTACTGTCTAGTATTTCAAACATTGGTTTCTATATTATATACATATATATTATATTGCTATGTTTAGCATATTAACATTAAATTGCTTTTTTTGTTGGTTTTTTTGTCCATTTTGTGGATATATTCGATAACGAAATTGTTTTCTAAATTGATAATTTTACCAGTAATACATTATAAATTTGCTTGTATATTGTGTCCTAATTTAGTAAAAATTCGAAAAAAAGTGTTAATGACACTTGTGAAAAGGGTTAGATTAATAAGCCATAAGGAATTAATAGATTATCAAAGTCACCCCAACAAAGGGGTGAGATTGATAACATATTGTACTTAAAAAAACTAGTAGGACCGAAAACTAAAAAAAAAAATTGATGAAGTCCAATAAAGTAAAGGTATAATGTTATATCGGGGAAAACAAATCAGAAAGAAATGTTACAACATAACATTTTTTGCAAAAAAACTATACAGTTTTTTTGCAAAAATGCTCAAAAACCTACCAAAGTCACCCATTTAACGGTAGTTAAGAAATTTTTGACTAACGCTCGTTAAGCTTAATTTAGAGATGAGAATACGGCTCCAGATGGTAATGTTTTTATGACATCTTGTACGAGATCAACACATAAATGCGTCTTTTTATGGAAAACATTCATTATTAATTCAGATAGTATGACAAAATAGAAGGTAAATTTCTACTTAAAGGAAATTTTCCGCGGAACGGATAATTTCCTAATTAAGTAAAAAAAAATTTAAGATGCGCATTTTAAATGTTGCATGCTTGGATAAATTTCTTTTCCGTTCTGTTCCGCGGAAATTTTCTTGCTTCACTTTTATAGAAATATAGAAGTTTAACAAGGGGTCATGAAGAACATTCATTATTAGCAGTTTTTTTTTTTTTAATTTAATTAGTTTTACAACTTCATGTTAGCTACAATTATAATACGTTTCCATGACATTAAAAGTGATTTAAAATTAAAACAGTTTCTTTTTTTTTTTTTTGGATGTTTATTAATAATTACTTAATAATATTTTATTATACGTTTATTATTATTTACAGCGAATATTTGTTGAACTTTGGATTACGAAGTTTACTGAATGATGAAGTTGATTTCGGTAGCGAATTGGAAAAAGAAATTTGGCTTTCAAATAAATTCGGTCACAATTTCAAAATTTCATTAAATTTTCAGTTAAATTAGAAGGTTGTTAACTTTTATCAAATAAAAGAAATACCAGTTTTAAATTATATGATATATAAATTAAGGTATTTTACAGAATCATTAAATTCGGTTTAAAATTCGTCTTCCAGTTTAGTTCGGGTCTTAAAAAGTCAACTTCGCCGGTCCTTAATATAAAACTTATATAAACATATATCCTATTGAAATTATGATGAAATAGTTGTTTAAAAATGCGCATTTGACCGCAAGCCATACTAGAATTAAGTTGTTTTATTTGTGTTCTGTAAAATATTTCCACCAAGAAGTTTTCTATTTCACCAATTTTCCGTTTAAGAAGGTGACGCAGAAATAATTTGGTACCTACTAATTATTAATAATTATATGTTGTCTTTTTTTCATTTATAAAATTAAGGTAAATTGATTATTTAATCTTTATTTTTATTAGCTTCTATACTTTAGGTATTATTTTACTAAATAGGTAGAAGCCACAGTGAGAAATATAAAAACAGATGGAATTTTGTTTTGTATGCAAAGTTTTCAGTTTCTCTTTTGTTATATTTATTCGCGAACGTTTGCAAGAAGTTTTA